AATCCAAGGCTGTCGCTATGTTAAGGCTGTTTTTATGGGTTCTGCTTGTTTTTCCTAAAAACCTGTTGGATAGCAAGGTTCTGGATTGTTAAGGGTCGGATCATCGAGTCACGACTGTATATAAATAACACTAGGGCACTGGATCGAAGCAGCTGTGATCATGTAAGAATTCAATGCACAACATTACAAAACACAATTCACGTAAACAAACAAAAGCTCAAGACTAAAGGTAAGAATGTTGATGTGAATAGTGGAAGTGATACCTATATCCAGACTCTTCCCCTGCTTTGGGTCAGCCTGCAGTTTGTTGTAGTGGATTATTGCTTCTCCCTGTGAAAAAATAGAGAGTTTAATCATCAATCAAACATATTCAGCACACACTATAAAGAAGAACATCTCTAGAGAATAAATTATGTTTTTCATTCAATTAATTTCAGAAAAAATGCAACAGCATGAACATACAGTCGATATGTTTCCCTATTACATGAGGTGAAATGAAAAACTTCATGGTGCCGGGGGAAACACACATGCTCTATTTGCACTGAAACAGCAGCACAACGTAATCCGCTAATTCCCAGCTGAAGCTGGCCTTTATCCCGCCGTGCAGGAAGTCATGGAATTTTTGTGGGTCTGAACAAAGAATGTCAAAAACAACACAGACACTCTGCGTTGGTGATGTCAAACGCTACGAGCCATTGTCCTGACCTCTGTAGTGCAACTTGGCAAAAATCCCTCCTCTGCACGGTGTGGACGGCGGTAACGCATTCACAATACGTTGGACTATTCGTTGGTAAAGTCGCAGCCACAGCAAGACATAAAGCAGTGAGTGATCTTTTACTACTTTTTGCTATTTCTGCTTCTGTCATTGTATAAACGTTGCATCATATGTAGCATTCCAGTGAAGTTGTGTTCAGGTTATTGCTGGAATTCATTGAAGGGCTCTGATCCTGGGTGGTGAAGTTTAGTTGTTGTAGCTTCCAAATATCGCACCGACTGAACTAAGTGTTGGTGTGACTGTTACAGAACAGTTTTCTAATAACTACATCTTGCCTCCATTTGATAGGTAGCTGGCGTTACATGAATTAAGAAGGTTGTGTGGAACTGGTCAAAAGACTAAATAACAAGCCATCTCTTCTTATTCACATATTGCACTTTAAATAACGATGGACTATGATTCCAGAGCCTGTGTACCTGGACAGCTTGGATCATCTTGGCCACCTCCACCTTAGTCTTTCCCTTCACCGGCTTCCCGTTCACACCTGTGATTTCATCCCCTGCTGCCAGCGTCCCATCCAGAGCTGCTGGGGTGTTGTCAAAGACCTGTGGGACGACAGCAACCATATTTAATAAAAAGGTACAGATATTTCCCCTCTGACTTCTGACTTCACACAATTTCTGTTAAAAAAAAAAAACTTGAAACATGATGGAAACGCTGCTGTAATTACTTATTCTGTGTCTACCTGGACAATGTAGAGGCAAGGACAGTATTGTGCCCCACCGCCAATGCTGATACCAATAAGATTATTAGCATCTTTCTTCAGAGTCACCGTACCAGGTACCGTTGGTATCCCACTGTTACAAAGAAAACAGCATACATTTAGGTTTGCTGCATTTAGTTCACCTTGTTCTGGGAGTACAAAGTTCCTATCAGGACAGAAATCCACACGACTAGCCACTACTTTCAGAGTGTAGTAATGTTCAACATGCTGTGATTTATCCCTGTGTGTGTTCCAAGGTATGAAGACAGAGTTTATACATTTAAATACACAAAAAGTCATAACTGGATGGCTCAGATTATGCAGTGGCAACACATCTTTGTGACTCACAGTTTGTCCTCCTCCAGCTCATAGTCCATGTCTGTGAACATCGCAGGAGACGGTCACTCCTGGCCCTGTAAAGCCTGCAAGTGATGAGAACAAAACCCGTTAAATAAAGTGTATTTTAAATTTAGTGTAGCTGCAGTTTGACGCAATGAAGAAAAACACATCGAGACAGCGACAATCTCTGCAGCATTCTCAACATGAGCTACTAACTACTGGCGTTGTTAGGCTGGATGTCCGAGGCTACAGCCCCAAACGTTTTAATGAACGGAGTGAGAAGACACAAGACGAGGCCAGAGGAGGTGGAGGAAGAGTTGTCATGAGGCCAAACATGGGCAGAGTTTTTAACCAGCAACACAGACAGCAGATGTGCTTTGGCTATTATTGGTAATTTATTAGAGGTATTGTCTTATGCATCTAACTGCATCTCTTCTCCTGAACTATTTAAAAGAGTTGATCACACTCACATTACTATTAAATAAACCTACAAGGTGGTGTCAGGAAAGTTCCAGGACTGGTGTCACAAAAGATATGTTTCAAACCCAAACTACAAGTTCTCCCCTTCCAAGTAATCCCCCTGGAGTCTAACACACGTCCCCAGCCTCCTGGAAGGATTCTTCCAGGATCCTCGGCAGCTCTGTCGTCACAGCCATCTTGATGTCGTCCACTTCTTCTAAATGGGTCTCCTTGATGACCCCCTTGAGCTTGGGGAAGAGGAACCAACCCCATGGAGCCAGGTGGGGTGAGTAGGGAGGTTGCTCCAGCACGGAGATGTTCTTCTCAGCCAGGAACCGTCGGGGAGACTTGTCCTGCCACAACTCTCACCTCTTCTGAACGAAGCAAACGCTGCAGGATCTCTTTGTAGACGTGCTGGGATTACTTCAAAGGGGAAAACTCGTAGTTTGTAGTTTGAAATCTATCTTTTGTGACACCAGTCCTGGAAATCTTCTGACACACCTCCTATAAGAATCACCAATCTCACTCCATCCAGTAGCCCAAACCTACAACTTTGGTGTAGCTCACTGGCTCTTGAACGTTTTCATTACAGTTCACAGCATTTATGAAAACATGTATTTTCAAGCCCCTCCTTTACATTTGATTCCAGCCGTAAATGAGCATGAATTACAAGAAAACCACCAGTCTGCTACCCTGCACTCCCTGTAATGTGAATGTGGAGCACAAGTTAGGCACAAAAACAAACTGGGATGACTCTACTTTGCCCACAACACAGTGTCTCACACTTCATACTCATTTTATGAGTCCGGATTAACTTCAAACTGATGCAGTGATCAGGTAAGCTGCAAAGATTTCTGGGAGAAGCCCCTAATTGGTCCAGATGTCAACAACGCCTCTGCTACCAGCGACATAAAAACTGGGGTGAGTGAGGTTGTTCTGTTGGACAGCTACGAGACAGACTGAGCTGTAAGTCCAGCGGGTCATTTTGTGTGCTGACGTGTGGAAAAACATCAAAACGAGCAGCTTGACGCCGTTCCGATGTGATGCAGTGAGAAGACGCTAGCTGGAGCAGCACAAACAGCCGGTAACTAGCGGTGCATGCTACCTGACATTAGCCGGTGAAACGACTCTTAATTAGTGTCACCGTTTAACTGAGAGCATCCAGCCGTGAGGCAAACACAGCCGCTGTGGTGTTTCATTGTAATGACGGAAGTCAACGGCAACAAAAAGAAGCTTGCTAATGCTAATTATTAGCTGCTAGCTCCATTTGGCTACAGCAGGTGTAACTGCGGTCATGAAGACGTTCAGAGGCCGCGAATGATTTACCTTCAGTACCCGGTGGCCACGGCCGTCATACAGTAATCCCTCAGTGTGCAGGAATCTGAATTTCCTTGTTTTAAATCGCGACTTTTACTCGAAATTTTGGGAACTTCTGAATCCACTGACAGCTCCTGTTTACTTTACGTCTTCTTCTTGGTTGCGGTTTATTGGCGGTCAGCAAACAACGAAGCGGCGCATCACCGCCACCTGCTGGTCGGAGTGTGAATCACAACGTCTGTATTTACAAAAAAATGTTTTTAAAAAAGAAAAAAACTAAAACCTTCTCGACTTGAAACTATCAATGTATACTTGTATGTTATGTGAATTAGAGATAAGCCCCTTTTTCTTGTTTATTGCCGCAGCAGGCTTCAATCAGAATCAGAAATCCTTTATTTATCCCCGACGGGAAATTCTTTTTCATTACATGCATGATTCCTGCCCAAGAATAAAGATTAAGATTAAAATAATAAAAAAATATACATTAAAGGTAATATATAAATAAATATCAAAGTACAAAAGAAAACATATTTACATACATATATATATACAGTAAAGGTGCAGAATGCATGAAGGAAAAATGAAATCAAATAATGAAGGAAAGTTCTAATCACCAGTTTCTTCTTCTTCAGTGGGAATAACACAGCGTTTGAACCGTATTATTATTATTTAGCTATCATCCAGTGTAACGCCACCTTAATGCTAACAGACACTTTAATAACGTGTTTTACTGGCCTCTAGTGGCCACAGTGAGAATCTACACTATATTGTCCCTTTCATGCATGACCACAGACTGCAGTGGACAGTTACCCAAACTCCAACTAAAAACACATTATTCACAACCATTACTTCCCAAACTTCTTCTGTATTTTATGTCATCATTGTCTTCATAATTATTTGTTATAAATCCAACATGGTGTAGAAAATGTACCTGTTACCTCTGAATTGACAATTAGTGATAAAAACATCCAACATGATTGTGACGGAGAACAAATCCCTAAACACAGGTGGTAAAACCTGAATGTTTTAGTCATATATTTACAACCTGTACAGTATCTATATAGCTTTTAAAATGTTTTCCATGAACTGTAGCACACAGTTATTCTAGCCACTGTCCATTTTTCCAACATTATTCAACATTTTTCCATCAGTTTTGAGCCAATAGTTTTAAGTAACCGCTGAATCCGCTGTTTGAAGCCATCTCCTGTTTTCAGCAGTTATGTCTTGAGGACCTTAATCAACGTACAAAATGGCTCCCAGTCTAAGAATTATTAGATTGCTGCTGGCAGAGTAGTTTTATCAAAACCTTCCAATGTCACTGGC